CCCCCCCCCGCCCTTTCCCTTCATCCCCCTTCCCGCTTCTATCTCTTCTTTTTTAACTTTCATTCACTGTAAGTGAGAAATGAGTTACCCAGAAGTAATGCAACTGATGGCTAAGAGATGAAGCTCACAGCGGATAATTCGGAGGTTATTTAGGCTCGCAGAAGATTGCCTCTCCTACTTTCGTAGAATATTTGGAACATTTGCGGTTCACACCTGGCTTTTCAAACATGAAGCTCTGGCAACTTATCCAGTTGGTTTAGTTGATTGTGCGTCACCTGATGGTCAGCCTGTTAACGATCCTGACTTTTGATGCATTCTTATAAAAGCCTTCCTATTTTTAGCTTTGTCGTATTCACTGCACTATCGATATTGCGGGAAAGCTATTTTCGGTGGTCACCCTGATGTGTATCAGCGTGGAGCGTTATTGCGGAGTTAGGGATTCATGGCGCTATCCAAATGGCAAGCGATGTATGAATATTGCTCCACTGTCAATTGGAATTGCCGTATGCGTTGCGGTACCAGCGATACCGTGGGGAATGTATACTGATGCAGTGGATGTGCCCTATGTAAGTTCCATGCGTTTGTTTTCAAGCAACCGCCACATTACGAGGAAATGGTCAACCGTGGGCTTTGAGTATATATTTTTTTGTTTGCCTTAATACTCCAGGTATATTTCCTCTACACCCTCATTTGCTTTTTCTCTATTTGTATCAACATCACAATTGTCCTATTGATGAGGCCCATTTATGCTGAATAAGAATATATGCGAATTAATGGACCGAAACATTCCTTTTTCAATTATTTCCTTTTTTCTTCCACAAATACATAATATTTTTTATAGACGATTTACACAATAAATTTAAGGTTAAAGAGAAAGTATGAGTATAATAAATGCTTCGCTCTTACTAGTTACAAACCATTCCTATTCTTTTTTGTCCCTGGCCTGCTATTATAGCAAAAACCGTTGTGTATCATTGTCAGATCAAAGCTAAGATCCCATTCGTTTTTTGTACCTCGTAACAGGCTATGGTACACCGAATGCTAGCAATTGTCAATAGCAACCACTTAGTGGCCTTCTCTTTAGACGGTTGCTTAGAAGCGAGCTGATGGTGTTCTTTATAAAGCAGATGCATGTAATTTTTTATGTGCCGGGAGCGTCTCTATATCAAAATGTCTTAGAATCTAAGCCCCATTTTCCACATACTCCTTTCCCTTACTTTGAAGGCTGAGATATTAAAGCTAATTAAATGAACAAATCGTAGCGCTTTTTTCCTTAGACGTAAAAATAGAAGGAGCCATGTATGCAGGCGGAAGCGAAAATCATCAGTACAGCCTGCCATTCGTCATGTGTATGCTTTTTATACAACTAAATGCTAAAGAACAGATTAGCAAAAACACGAAAGCTAATGAAGAAGGAAAATCGCGAAGTAAAAACTGGTGAGATATAGGAGTAAGACAAATATGAACGAGATAGTTTATAGAAAGTTGAAACAAAATTTCCTGGACTGTGACTTTCTGTCTTCCAAAATC